CCCGCGCGGGGGCCCCCCACCCCCCCCCCAAGGGGGGGGGGGGGGGGGGGGGTTTAGCTTCGCATCCGTGGACCCCCCTCCCCCCTTTTAAATAATCCTGGATCCGCCCCTGATACCCTAGTCACAATAAAGGCGGAATGAGCTAGAATGCCGTTGGAATGACAACTCAGTTTTTATATCTAGTAATATTCTTTTTTATCATTAAATAATTTCATCTTACTGAACCAATGTGTCTTATGTATTCGTCCAACTCTTTATAGGTTGCCATATTATAGTGATAATAATAATAATAATAATTTAGATTTATAGAATAAATAATTTATATTATTAAATTTTAAGGTTGCCAAATATATGTAATGAAAAAGTGTCCAGTCCTTTCCTATAATAATCGTCATATTGTTAACATTTTCTCTTTGAAATCACCGTACATGACCAAACAATGCCGTTCCCCCACAATGCCTGAGTGTCTTGGGTGTGATTTCCTAAAAGGCAGTCACAGGTTTCCAAGAGGTTGTTCAAGTACCAATCAAAGTGGGCTCATCCTCGATATGTTCGTGACCAGCTTCCATGGCTCCGGATATTTCGATCGTGTTAGATTGTGCTGGAAGCTGCGTCCTTTAATGTTAAGAAAGTTAGACCGTCTTGTCATTTTAGCTGGTCGCACAGAGCGTGTAGACGTGAGCTGAGGCGAGTGAGCGAGGCGCAAGTGAATCTTCAAACGGCATGGTAAGATAAAAATTATTTCTTTAGGTATTTTGAGATTTTAGAAGAAACATGGGTCATATTAGATGTGAGGGCGTGTTAACTTCGATTAAAATGCAAAGTCGAATTTACTTAAAGTGATCTTGTTTTGAAATAATGTCCTGTATCGCTCGACAGCGCCAAAAAGAGCGTCATGGGAAAATTTTCTCGCGAATGGGTAAATCGTTGTCATTTGTATTTTTCCAAGCAAACAACCTCACGTGTTAAAAACTAAATGTTTGGCATTTTTTATTGGTACGTGCTAGAGCTATGACGATGTTGAACACCCAACCCCAATATAGAGGTGCATTTCACATGCTGAAATGTCCAAAAATTAAATTGAATGTATTCAAAGTTGTATTCAATTTTTTAAAACCTGTGTAGAACAAAAAAATCCTCTACTGTCTCAATTTTAATTTAATTTTTAATTTTTAGCATGTCTTTACATTATGTAAGGAGCTCTAAATAGTAACGTATTGTGGAGTCCTGCACCAATTCCACATTGAATAATCATATTTAGTCAACATGTTTAATATCTAATTTGCGTCTGTCCTGCATACACAATTATTATTCTCTGTAGAGGTCTATAAGTACCGGTAGAAGAACTTCTCAGAGTGAAAATGTCCAGTGTACCTGTACATGATCAATTCTTTCAAAAAACCACTCTGTTCTTTCCTTGCACACCGTCTACCTCGTTCATCATCCCCTCCAGAATTCCTCCACAAAAACCTTAAGTTCTCTCCTTGCACACCGTCTACCTCGTTCATCATCCCCTCCAGAATTCCTCCACAAAAACCTTAAGTTCTCCCCTTGCACACCGTCTACCACGTTCATCATCCCCTCCAGAATTCCTCTACAAAACCTTATCCAGGCACAGAAAGCAAACTCAATCCCCTCCGTAATCACAAACTAAAAAGTTTCCTTTTTTAAGCAGTTACACTTTGATCCCTCCCCCCTTCCATTGATCTATGGTTCTTTTCCTCCACTCCAAATCATGATATACCTAACACCCTAGTCATACTAGAGGCGGTATGAGCTTCATATACACTGCCGTCGGAATGAAAATTCTTGCAGGGTCACATATTCAGGAATAGCCTTACGTTAACATGCATCCACAAATTTTTTCATTAAAATAAAGTCTAACAACTGCCACAAACCGGTAGATTTCGGTTAGATAATGCCCGACTTAATTGCAATCAAGTATATTTTTCTTTAACCTTTTTTGTGATAGGAAAAGGTGCAGTTATTATATTTTAAAAAATCATTAACATAAAAAGTTGATATTTTATCCGAAGCCGACAATCTGTGTTTGATGAGGTCTTACAGATTTACAAATATTATTAAAGTAAACAAAGTAAAATTAAACTTGAATGACTAAGCGAAAAAAGGTGCATCACTTGCAATTTTTAATGAAAATAACTTATGGACCTGATCATAGACTGTACTACCTTCTAGAACCAAGAGAAACTGTCAAGTATTTTAGTGCTTTAAAAAGCAGATATCTGAGTCATTCAAAAGACAAAAAATAAAACTAAACATGTTCGGTTTTTTGCTTTATTTTTGAGTACGACGCCGTGCATGACAAAATATAACGCCATTCATCACCAATGCCTGAGTGACTTAGGTGCCATTTGCTAAAAGGCAGTTAAAATTTTTCTAAGGATTGTTCAACAATATTTTCGAGCAAAATGCCTTGTCTGACAAAACGTAATATCATTCGTCACTAATGCCTGAATGACTTAGGTGTCATTTCCTAAAAAGCAGTTAAAAGTTCCCAAAGGGTTGTTCAAGAAGCAATCGAAGCGGTCTCATCCCCGATATGCTCGTGATCAGTTTGTTAAAACCCAAACAACCAATAGATAATTGGCTTCTCAACAGCTTAATTGTCAGCTTGTTATCGGCCTGTCAAAAGATACACCAGCTGACTGACGTCATAACTGCTTAGTTGTGAAATAATTAGTGACATATATAATAAAATCATGACATCTGAGAAGGAAGTGTCGGAAGTGTCGCAAAATCTGAATTGTATTCTCCAGATTGTGCGGATGTTGTGCTTGTCTTGATAGGTAATATAACTACGCAAAACAAGTTTTTGTTTGTTTTTGAAGTTTCAAAAAACGGGAATTAAGGCGTCGACTTTATTGCAGCATTTCTTTGCTGACGAAGTTTTGATTGGAAACGAGCAATCAGTTTATCATCCTCGATATCTGCAAAAAGAAGGTATTCTGTTAGAAGCATTTAAGAATACGATCAGTTCTTATTGCGAAAGATTTGATTTTTGGTCTGCCAATATTTCAGCAGTGATGCTCGATGTTACCTCCGCCAACCAATAAATCTAAAAAACAAAACGACTCACCAAAACCACACCAATGTCTACCATACATAATTAATAACAATCTTTATTTAAAGATTCGAAATCAAACCAGAAAAAGTTCAAATGTAAATTGCGAATAGCGATATCACCTTTTATTTCGAGGCTATTATATGGGGCGAGTTATAGAATGGAGACTCTTGCGCTTCGTCGCAATGCGCGATGCTTTCGAGTTACAAGGCCCAGGAAGTAGTTCGCACCTCACAACTTAAGACTAGAAGACATTTGCCATAGACGTAAGTAATAACGTTCACAATTTCTGTGCATTTCAATTTCGGTTTGTTGGTTTCAAAAATTATCTTTCTGAGCCCGTTCAGTGCCAGTGCAGTG